ACCTCCATTAAGCTTCGAGGTAAGCCCGTAGATATATCTAATGACTAGAATGTTCATATAGGTCGTTTCTACGTTCATAAATGGTCATTTGGTTGAGTTTTGTGTTTGACATGCTTGAAGAACTAAGAATCATAAACCATGAAATTGATGTTAAAATTATGAATTAATGATGCTAAAATGATCCATGAACCTTGGAGAACATTTTTATATACTTTAATTGAAGTTTGGTGAGTAAAAGTGACATTTCCGCAAGTTGGCTCGAGGTAGAAGACGATGGATAATCGATAATCAACTTGAAAATCGATTATTCATCGTTCTGCAGATTTTTTGAACAAAGCTGAGCAACAGTCGATTATCAGAATGTGATAATCAACTATCAGCCCTCTTTGAAGTTTGATAATCGATTATCAGAGTGTGATAATCGATTATCAGCCCATTCTGAACATCAGACAGTAGATTATCAGAAGTGATAGTAGACTGTCTCCCTACACTATTGAAGAAAATGAAGCTAATAGTTAATAATTGAATTTCCTAGCATATATTAATCAATTATTGTTTAGAAAACATGATTTTTGAACTATGAAATCCTATTTTTGATACCAATTAATTATGCATAATATAAATATGATTTTGTATAATAAAAATGATGTTTTTAGCATATAAAATACTATGTGATGCATGACGGTAAGTTCGGGTGTTAACACTCGAGACTAGGCCGCTGTTTGTTATCAAATGTTATGTTGATTGATGATTATGATGAATGATTATTATGATGATTATGACTTGATGAAACTACTGATTAAAATGATTATTGAAGATTAAATTATGAATTGAAATGAATATGTTGATGATTATGAAATGATTTGAATTCTAAGGATATCTAGANATTGAATATCAAATGACTTGGAATAAAATAGTGAGAATATCATGAACGTTTGAATTATATATTGGGTGCATGATATCAAATGGTTGATTATGAATTGAGATTCAATTTATTTGAATGTTCGACGCTTTAGATATGCTTACTCAGCTTCACCGCTGAGCGTGTAGTGTGTTTTATTTGCTACACGCAGGTAGGTAGAATGAATGATTGGCTGATTCCTGGCAGCAGAAGGGACGAGACAGTTGTGGTGGATCATTGAACAAAATAAATAATTATGTTGTTATGAGACATGTTTAAAAGTCGCTTCCGCATTATTATTAAACACTCCGTATTTTCTACAATTATGTATGGAATATTATTTATAAATAAAAATGCTTGAAATGTTTTAAATTATCACGATTACCAAATCAATACTTTAGTCCGAAATGGGCTGCAGACCTGGATGGATTAGGGTGTTACAATTTGGTATCGGAGCAAATGGTTTTAAACACGATCTTCGGATCAATGTTTCATTTAAAAAAAAATATATATTATATATTTTGGGTAAAAAAAAAATTATTGTCTATCACATCCACGACTCTCGCATCCCTCTGCTCCAGGAAGGTAATAAAAAAAATGAGTATTGAAATTGACTGTATCAAATTTTATAGATGTCAACTGTTAATTCAGAAATGATATCAAGTGTTGATTCAAGTCGCACTTTCGTACTTGGTAAAAGACGAAAGAACAAACGAAATGTCTATGACTCGTTGATACGTTACCAACGTGCACATCGATTCGCAAGAATAATGAAACGAAGGATTTATCTGCGCCGCAAGGCTGCATGGGAACGAGATGACCCAGGAGAGAGGTTCAGCGTAGACTCTGCCTGTAGCGTATGTGGGTCGGGCATAGAAGACCCGTCTGTAGATTCGTCACGATCCAACCAATCGAACGCAAACGCTTAGAAAATTATCTTAGTGTTGGTTTCAAATCCATTGATTGTATCAACTGTTGTAATCCTTTGCAATTCTTGTCTTAAACTCAACTACTGAATAAAAGAATTCTAATAAAGGAATTTCTGTTATTGTAGAATGAGTCAAGAATCTGCCTACGGACAAGGCAACAATAATGAACACGTCAGTGTTCATACTGAAGCATCTAGCTTTACCCCTCCCATCCAAAATGAACCCGTCAATCAACAAAATGTTGGGAATAACCCAAACGCTGGTGGTCAACCCGACCTTGTGATTCCAGCTTTTCTAGCTAATGTGTTGCAACAAATAGCCAACGCACCAATGTTTCAACCACCTCCACCACCGCCACCAC